TGCAGTTCCTCAAAACTACATCTATAAGGACTTACCCTAAGCACACAACAAAGGAGCCACCATAAGGGAATACCTTGGGGCCTATGGGCCTACCCAAGGGTCTCCTTAGGTCCGTAAGGAATTACCAGGTTGATCAGAGCTGAACCTTCATACTCCAGAATCCTATCCATACAGTATCCAATAGAAATCAGATTAACAGTAAACTATAATATCATGATCGTGATCCAATAAAATCTCGTAAGAGTGACAATGAAATAAAACTGCACTCCAACCCTACACCATATATAGTCCCATGATTTACCCATGGGAGTGCCTTGGGGCTTGAGAGCCTACCCAAGAAAGTTTCTTGGGGCCTCGAAACCTACCCAAGGGTTACCTTAGGTCCTTAAGGAATTACCAGCTCGATCAGAGCTGAACCTTCATACTCCAACCTTCCCAGATAATGTCCCAATAAAACAGTTCTAATAATAACCAGTAGATTCCATGATCCATGAATCATGAACGATTATATTTTCCAGTGAAAACGATAATATGAGAACAGATACCATGTAGCCATGGTTCAATAAATCATAAATTTTGGTGGAACATTTCAAAATATATAAAACAATCAGGTAGTACATAGGGAACACACTAGATGATCCAATTATTTTTGGGAGATACTTAGCAATTATCAAGTGGGGACCATGAAACTTTAGTAATTTAATAGGATTTCAGAATTAAGATCCCTGTATAAAAATGGTTTGATAGCTAACAGAGTAATCAATCATTTAGGAAGTAATTTATCAATATCATATAGTATTCGGATATTTTTCGGAGGCACTAAGTAGTCAGGAACGTACTCAGAATCTTTTGCATTAGAGTTGCTTAAGATTTCAAGCATGTCGAGAGTGATTTAATTATTCCGACAAACAGGGGTATTTTAGACATTTTGATTTTTGGAGGATTCTCAGTAATTTAAGTCAATAAGAGTGGAGCAATGATTCATGGTAATTAAGATTCATGTCAGTTTATCGGGATATCGAGTCAACTCGAACTGAATAAATCTCAGACTATGATACTTGCCAACTAGTAAAATCGATGCACTTCAAGGATATTCACACTTTAATGCTGACATCACTAGCCGAACTGATTATCTTTTGAATCATTCGTTGAATATATCTTAAGAAGACAAACATGTATTCCCTCTCCAGTACTGATTGCACTAGTGGAACGAACCTCTTTTATAATCAACATCAACCAGATCTTCACATGATGAACGCATATTTCGGTGGTGTTTAATTTATTCATGAATTATAACAATATCCACATATTTTACGTCGTTAGAAAAATAGACCGCTTCAACAACCGAGGTTAATTTGATCATCTTAGACTTCAAGATATTTTGGTTCCTTTAGAGTTCAAGGCATTTTGGTCATTTGAACATTGGAGGTCATTTTAGTTATTTCGCATCTTGAAGACATTTTGGTAATTCTTATCAATCCAAACATATGTACCTTTTTTCTGGTAATTTGGTCAGATATATCAGTTCATCGTTATATTTCGCTTTTAGGGTAATCTTGGTCTTTTAACAGTGCAAGAGCATTTTGGTTAAATTACAAACTCAAGGGTATTCCAGCCCTTTTCTTCTGTCTAGTCTTTCCATTTTATTCAAATTCTTCAAATAATTCAAGCATGAATAGAACTTTCAATACTTTAGTCTTTAGGTGATTGCTTATAAAGCAACAGTTATAGGTCTTGTACCTTCTCGAATGTTAGGATCCAATTATCAATGACTATTCGAGCAGATCGAGAATTTAACAGATGGAACAATGATATATCGAATTATAAAACGAACTCTCAAGGTACTTTCGCTCTCAGATCTGTCCAGGCCATTTTTACCTCATAGGGGAAATTTTGTAAATTTTATAATCAGACAATTTCAGTATTGAAGCTTTTAGCGATGATAAATAGAATTTAGAGATTTTGAGGTTATTTGCTCTTCAGACTAATTATTGTATTTGAAATTATTTCTTATCAGTCTTCCAATTCCTTTATGTAATTCAATCGAGTCTTAACCAATTTATCACTTAAATCGTATTCGGTTCGAGTCCATCCATAACCAAACATGCCTAATAGACTAATCATATTCGGTCAAAGTCAACGATCAAAGTCAATGGTCATAGTCAACGGGTCGACTCAGACGAGTTGACTCGGTTCGGGTTGACTCGATCGGGTCAAATAGACCCGGTTCAAACCGAGTTGGTCGATTCGGGTCGGTCCAGACAATTTTAGAAGAAATTAGAGTAGAGGGACGAGCCCCACGCGCGTGGCAGTAGCGACGAAGGTCAGGGTGATAGACCGATTATTCCCTATTTCAACACTCGCCATAATTTATCCAAATCAACATCACTAATCAGCCATAACGGTGCAAAATAATTGAAAAGATTAATCGACTTACCCTCAATGACGAACGATGATTACAACGACGGTAAGCGACTAACCTGACTAGATTTTGGTCGAAAGTCCACGAAGAGTTCGACGACGATGGTTGTGAGCTCAAAGGACAGACGATTTTTTCGGAATCACGAGACCAATAAAGGTGAGTTTTTATTTTCTTTTGGACCTTCGATCGACGATTCACGACGGATGACGAGACTACTCAGCGAGTGGAGGGCAAGGCTGGGATCAGAAAGAGGTGACACTTCTGATGGTGCCAGCGATGACCCTCGATGGTGTGTGGTGGTCGAGATTAGCGTTAAAGGACTCGAACGATCTCTCCCTAGTTTTCTCTCAACGGTCGTAAGTTTTTATGCTTGGCAGCCTAGATTGGGAATAGTGCACCCCTCGACTGGCTAAACAACGGTAGCTGACGAGGGGAATAGTGGTGAAACATGATGATTTCCAGGCACGGTTTTGAACTCCCAACAGAGAAGAAAATGATGGAGGTGATATCATCTAATTTGTATCTAATAAAAGTAAATTTTTAATTTTTTAATGACAAGAGATGGACAATTTCAGGGTTAGGTCCCTCAACTATCGTCAAGCTTGCAAAACATCCATCGTACATCGAAATCAAGCATTTTAGTCCTCAACTTTTCCATTGTTTCGAGTTTAATTCAATACTTTACGTTAATAAAATCTAACCCCTAAATTGGGGTGTAACATGTATCATGTTACTTGATGCGCTACATTATTGAGTAATTAGCAATTCTTAATTTCAAGAAACTTCCCAATTAATTTATTGCCTTTTTTTTATCTTAATATTCCCATCTTTTGATTCTCTTATTTCCAAAAAAAAATGAAAGGATTTGAAGTTTCAGTTTTCCAATCCATACATAGTTGATGCTTTTAAAATAATAAAATAAAAATGGAAGCATGAAACAGAAGAATGAAAATTAAAATTAAACGTTATATATGATTTTGATTAAAAAATTAAGTAAGTGACCAAAATGGAATGAAAGTAATAGTTTAAGTATTAAACATGTAGTTTGCTCTTATCTATATTAGCCGTAAAGATAAAGAGAAAATAACCTCAGTGACCAAAAATCCCAGATAATATACGATTTTGATCAACTTTTTTTGGATTTGCGAAAATGATCAACAAAATCGCAATGCGATCTCTAATTCGCATTGCGATCTCCACTATCGCAAATTCGCGTTGCATTTCGTGTTGCGATAATTGAAAATCGCGTTGCGATAGTTGAAAATCGCATTGCGATTTTCCATTTCGCGTTGCGATTTTCCAGTTCGCGTTGCGATAGTCTACAGTTGTCGTTGCTATTTTCCAAATTCGTTGCGATAGTCTACAGTTGTCGTTGCGATTTTCCAAATTCGTTGCGTCGCGTTGCGATTTTCCAGTTCGCGTTGCGATAGTTGATAATCGCGTTGCGATTTTCCATTTCGCGTTGCGATTTTCCAGTTCGTGTTGCGATAGTTGAAAATCGCGTTGCGATAGTCTAAAGTTGTCGTTGCGATTTTCCAAATTCGTTGCGATTTTCCAAATTCGTTGCGAAAATTCGTTAGAAAAAAGATTTTGTTTCTTAAGAATTTTCTCTAAAAAGATAGTATCCGCGCGGACGTGTCGAAGACACGTATTACCACGACCACGACCACGACCCGACCCGACCCGAGACGGACGGCGGCGGCGCGCGAGAGTCCCCCTTGTTCTCTTTCACTCAACAAGGAAGTGGGAAAGCCAAGCCTTAAATACCATTCTCAAAGATAAATTGTTGCATCAAATCATAAATCAGTTGATTTACACTCCACTCAAGTGAATAACACCACCAAACTGTCTATTACCATCTCTAACTACCACCGATTATGCTAGTCTACGAAACAACCACCAAACGTAACGCCAATTTTTTTTAATTTTCCCATTCAGTTTTCCGTGAAACCAAACAGAAAAATTGCTCATGAACCACAGTTGAGCTGATAGAATCTTAAACTTTACCTTGCCTAAAGTTTCCTTTCGGAATGGAGTTGTAAGCCGAAAATTAAAAGCCAGAATATAAGAAGAGGAAATAAATAAACAAATTGCTAGGGAAAAAATAGAAAATCAATTCACTACAAAAAAATGTGTAATTGCTGATGGAGTTTATGAGGGAATTTGTGATGAAATTTGATTTTATTAATGGAATTTTTTAGGGAAGAGAGTTATCAGTAAAATGCTGGTTAAAACCAATATTTCCGAGAGAATAAAGTAACCTGTAAGAAGTTTACTAACGAAAATTCGATAGAAAAAACGAAACAAAAAAAAAAGAGAAAACTAAACCCTACAAATTTTGACCTTCTATATTTACACAACCAAAACTGACAGTGAGGGAGGTTGTGGTCGCATTTTTAGTCATGTCTCGTTTACTGCGATTACGGTCATAGCAAGTGCTATTGCGGATATAGCAGACACTATTACGGGTATAGTGAGTATTTCAGAAGGCAGCGCTGTCGCTATTTCGTGGTAACTATCGCAGTCGCATACCGCTATTTAAAACCCTACCCATAGTATTATTCCTGTTTTCTTCCTACTAGAAATCGGAAAAACAGTCGTCAGAGAATGAACGGAGGAGATCGTGGAGGTCACGTGACACCACCCCATGTCTCAACTCTTCCATGACCCGTTCGAAAACCAGCACGTGACAGGGAATATGAAGCACCCCTTTCTGCTCATACCCGTACTCCTGAGCCGACTTGTTAAGCAACCCAACGAAAACCCGATGGTTCAGCAACTCAGCGCTCACCAAAAACCGCTCCATTTCTTCCCCTACATAAACCGGCACGTGACCTTTGAGAACAGACCGGCGACCCGACTTCTTGACGGAGGATACGTCGATGCGGAATGACTCGGATCCACGTGTGGCAGTGGTGCGGTTGGAAAGGAGGAATCTGTATTCGGAGGAAGTATCGGCAACGCGGGAGAGACGGCGAATGAACTGTTTCATTTGGCTTTTTATAAATTATGACAAACAAAAGAAAAGAAGACTTGGGAGCGAAACTATTACTAATCACCGTCGCCCCCTGGATTTTTGTTGTTGTTTCGGTTGAAGAAGAAGAAAGTAAAGGTTAGAGAGAGTCGGGAGGAAGGAAAGTGAGGGTCGACGCATTTTATAAAGAAGATGAAAGAGAGAATTAAAGCAAGGGTTGTGATGATATGATGATATGATGATGAGAGAGAAAAGGTTACAAGTAGCAACTACTTACCAGATACGGTTACTCTTGTCATTTTATTATCTCCGTTCATCTCTATAATTATGTTAATTACTAAAACTTATTAACGTTCTAAAAAACAAACTAATTATTATAAAAATTTATATTAAAAAAATAGCATAAGTTATTATTGTCCATAGAATGAAATGATTATATCAATAATTGATTTTTTTTTATTTGAATGGAGAGTTATGATTTGTAATTATATGACATTGATCTATAGTTAGACATTTAATCATCTTTTAAGTGTGAGATAATGAAAACTAAAGATAAAGATATTAAATCTTTTTTTCAGTTTTGGTTAAGAGATTTATATTGATTCCTATTTCACGTGTTACAGGGGCGGATACACTAAGTCTCAATAGGATTTAAGTGCATCCTTATTATTTTTAAGAAAATAATTAAATTTAACTTAATATGTTAAGAAAAAATAAAAATAATAAAAATTTTGTATCCATTATTTCTAAAAAAATAAAATAAAAAATTTTGACCCCATTTTAAAATTTTTGAGTTCACCACTGATGTGTTATATGTCTGATTAATATGATCAAGTAATTTTAATTTTAAAGTTCATGTCAGAAGATGTTTCTTAAAGGTTAAAATTTAGAAGATATTCATACCAGAATATATTCTTGAAAATTTTTGATAGACAAGATAAACATTAATTTTATGAAAGAAATTCAAAAGATATGCAACGATTATCAATTAATTTATTGCTACACTTTATCAAAAATAATATCCATTGGAAATAATACGAAATTTTTAACCAATAATTAATAAAATTAATATTTTGATCACCCAAGAACTAATTATTATTATTTTGTTAATCCAATACTTTTAATTAGATTTTAGTATCTCTTAATTGCGGAAAGAACGATGCCTTTTTCGTAGTCCGTGGCAGTACAGCTCCGTGATTTCCTTTTGTCTGTTGCCTACGTGTGAATTTCTTACGATTTGTTACACTTGTCAAATCGCGTGACAACACTGTCCAATAAAAATCGACCACTTTCAAAACGTTTGATACACGTTCAATTTTGAGATTGAAGATAGATAGTTCTGTTTGTACAAAGAAAGACAGTGAAAAAGAAAAGGTGATACCAACCTTTCCTCTTTTAACTCGAAAAGACAGTATGATAAGGGATCTAGGCGGATAGAGTTATTCATGCTACGTGATTACATAATAATATTATATATAATGATTAAAAAATTTGTATGATTATGATATACTCGTATATAGTATTAACATTTTATATGATATAAATTATTGTCAATATAATATAGTTCATGTTATACGTAATATGTTAAATAAATTTATAACAAAGAAAATAAAAATTGTTTTAATATTTATTATATGTAATCCATACGCCTTATTCTTAAGTATTTTATCTTTTTAAATACATACCATTCTAGTTCATTGAATTCCATATACCCCCCATCAGGTAATCATTAAAGATTGTTTGAGAAGTTACCCATACAAATTTAAATTCAATTACAATAAGCCAATGATTCAGTCATTAGATAATTAAAAAAGTTTGAATAAAATGCTATCATTTATAATGGACTAAAAATCATTTGAAAAGTTTAATTTTGTTATTCTCCGTGTAGTAATAATGAATTAACAACGAATTTGAATGGATTATAATTGTTTTAATATTTATCATAGCTATTACTGGTCAAAATTTAATAAAATGTAATGAAATTTTGTATTATATATTCCTTTCGGATGAGTAGTAAATAATAAAGTAACCCTTACCTTTTATATCCTTTAAAAAACGTGGTGATTAAATATCGTGTTGTATTTGCAAAAGTGAAATGAAATTAGATATATGAACTCCATTTTCATGTGAAATCAACTCTAATGATGTCCTTATAGATGTGAAAATGAAGTTAATGCGCAAAGATTTCTCCAAAGTCACTAACCATAACTTTATGTGGTTAGTATATCTTAATTCAACCATTAATAAATTTTTTAATAATTGAAATAATTGAAATTATAATTTGGAAAATAGTGTTAAAAGGAACAAGAAGAAACCTAGTTGATAATCTAACAATTTTTAGTTGGTATAGAATGTGGTTCTGATTGCATCATATTTTGATTGATATTTATGGTATGGAATAAAATATTATTATACTATAGTTAAAAAATATAGCAATAATCAAAATATTCAAATTAAATGAACTTGTAATAACTCTATAATGTACATGGTGTAGCTGAAAATGGAAGGAGGGAAATTATTAAAGCGATACGTCAAAATACACAACTAATTAAATTATTTTTATTAAATAAACATTAAAAGGGTAAATTTTATGTTTCGTACTTAAACTATTATTTTTAATTCGTTTCAGTACCTAAACTTTATTTTTTAAAACCCATTGACAACAATGATGATGTGCAATGACATGTCTTTTTTTTAATTTCCACATCATCGTTCTATTTCTCCTTTAGTATTTGTTAATTAATTATATTCAATCAATTAAATGGTGACAAGTGTCACCAACTATGGAGATAAAATAAAAGAAATTATTCTTGCTCTTACTATCTATTAAACTTAGGCCTCTTACATGAAATGCAAGGCACTCAACCATTGAGTTAGGGTAGTCATTTAAGTTAATTTCTCCACATTATTTAAGTTATATAATAGTTTCGCCACAAAATCAATATTTTTCGATGATTTAAATATGTGACACTTTAAATTAATGATCGAAATCTAAGTCATTCAACTATAATGCCAATCTATTGTTATTATATCAAACTTAATACTTACTTATATCATTGTTAAATTAAAGAATTTATTTACTAATTCAAAATAATATTAATTATTTATTTGAGATGATATTATTTTTAAATAATATTATACAGAACCAACTTAATAGGAGCCTGCTTATTTATTTTTAAAAATTGACATCACAATACCTTAGCTTCGTTCGCAGGTTAAAAATCTTTGGTATCGTGTATTTATTTTTGTCTAATTACAAACATATCTTAATAAAATGGCGCACGTGTCGTGCAAAGAACTTCATCGATGCGAGTTTTCTACAAATTCACGTTGCTTGCTAAGAACTCGTGGGTTGTATTACGTTTACAATCATGTTGCAGTCAAATGATTGGAATGAAATTCGAAGAGCTAATTATATCTAGCTGGAAGGTCATATGAAAGGTTATCAACTAATTTCAATTGTGTAATAATGATTATTTTTGTGCGTTTCCCAAATTCTTATGAGACTTCAAAGGGCGAAAAATGCAATTATTTTAAAAAAATGTTGCAAAACTTGATTGCTTGTTCTAGCTAAAAAGAATGACATTTGGTTAGGCACTTGAAAACCACATGACCTACTTTCTCCCTTGCAATCCACAGTCAAGGCTAAATTTTGTTAAAAGATGCTCACGTCTAGGCCTAGGTATATAGTTCACCAACTCCACTAATTTAATTATGATTCATGTTTTTTCTATAATTTAATGGTTTCAGTGAAGATTCAAATAGTTTAAATGTTATTAATAGATTACATGCTTCATAATTGAGCTTTCCCGAACTTGGTTATTATTATTATTATTATTCCTTTAGTATTTCTAGTAAAAATGTTAAAATAATTAGATCAACATTTGATTTAGTATTTCTAGTAAAAATATTAAAAATGTTAAAATAATATTAGTATTTCTAGTAAAAATGTTAAAAACAATTATTTTAATTTTAATTTTATTAATAATAGTAACTTTAATCTAATATAATTTTAATCTAATATGCAAATTGTTTTATTTATGTATTTTATTTTTATTTATTCTGAATATCTATATTTTGTATATGTAGAGAAAATGAGCAACAAATTATGGAAAATGAGGTCGGAGTTATTTTTCAGTATGAAGGACCTATAAATATGATGTTTAAAAGGGACAACACATTTGTAGAAATGAAGGAGATGATAGAAAGGAAATCCAAGCTACAGTTGATGGTCTGAGGTACAGGTTTATGGAATGTCCAAATCCAATCATGTATGCTGCAATACCACTTAAAGAAGATGATGATATTACAACTATGATTGAATTGCATGACTCAACAAATATTCCAATTATTGAGTTATTTGTTGAGCTGTCTAATATATCTTATGTGCCTGGGTCATCAAGAAATATGGTTGAAACTTCATCTCAAATAGCTTTCGAAAGTCAAATTAAGAACTCAACATATAGGGCTATAAACAGTTTCGTGTCGATGTTGGAAAGTGCAAACAAAATTAGTGGAACATCTGCAGCCGCAGAGTATGGGCAAGAAACATACATCATCCATATTCGAAAATTGATGTTGACGCTAAAAACCTATGGGGAGAAATACATGATGATTCCAGTGAAGATGAAGAAACTGAGAAACCTGTTTTGGCTTAGGATGACGATATTTTCGATGGTGATGAACATGATATGACCATTAATGAATATCTGACATCGTATCAACCTACCCCTCACATGTACGAGATAGATTATGATGCGATGAGGGCACCTGAATTCCCGGAGATGCCACATTTAACTTCTGGCCACATGACTGAATCATCCGAATACTCTGGTGAATTATCAGTTGGGAGGCAATTTAGAGGAAAAAAAGAAGCTACAATGGTGATTAAAGAGTATTGCATAAAAGGCCATGTAGATTGCAAGGTTGCAGAATCCAACCAGAAAACTCTGTACGCGAAGTGTGTTAAATATGGGCCCGAGTGTAAGTGGCTAATCAGAGTGTCCAAAATGCATAGGCAAGATGATTGGGTCATCACAAGGTACAATGGTTCACACACATATTTGCAAAACTCTATCGA